GTTCCAAACGGTCGTTGTTTTGTTGCGGGCACCTTCAACCCTCAAACAAAATGCTTGATTGTAAATTGTTTGGTTGTCTTCTTCACGACACACAAATAAACAACTGAAAATGAGTAAAACCAACAAAAGCTCCAGTGCACGAGTAAATCTTTGATTATTGGTAGAATTGATCTAACTGGTCTTCAGACTCCTTCACACTGGACGAGTCTTCAGGGTGCATAGAGAACGCAGCTCTTACACAACAAGTCCAGTTCAGCGATCACAGAACTTTCCAAGTGGAGGATTTCATGGAGATGTTGCGTATCGGAGACCTGGCGAACAAAACGTGGGTCCTGCATGCACTGGACAGACTCGGTACCAGAACATCTGGACTGCAAGCCTCTGCCACTCGTGAGGGAACTGAGAACCCCTGAAAGTGTTGAGACGTGTTGGAGACTCCTTCACGAGCGGCGTTCGCCGACAGACGCCGTCCCAGGAGCAGCGACGGTTCAGTTACCACCGTGTTTATAGATTAGATCATATTTTAGACACTTTGAACAACGCTTAAGGTCCAAAACGTCTGCACAGAACTTCAATCTGTCACTACTCACCGGTTTCTTGAAATGGCTTCACCAACTAACTGAACTTTATTCAGTCCCGAGTTTCCATTAGCCAAAGCGAACAGAATCTGGTTTTAAATGTGGCTCTTTGTCAGGGATTCATTTCTGAGAGTCACTTAAACTCGTCCAGCGGTTCAGGAGGTATTTTGCTAACAGACAAACATGAACACACAGAAGGACATGGACAATAATGCATTTACTGTCTTTCTTAGCAACAAAGAAAAACATACAAATAAAATTGTACTTTTATGAACAAACCAAACCTGAAACTGAATTCCCAATGATACTTCAAATGAGCTTCTCCTGAAAGAAAGCAGTTTGGTTCTTTTTTAAATAAATAAATTATTGAAATACTCGTCGGCCGACGTGTTCGAGGAGGGGCGAGTTTAAAAACCGGCCAATCGGGCGGCGGCGCTCCCCGCCGGCCACAAGTTTTATTTTCTCATGCGTAGCGTCTGAATATGATTCCAGAGTTAACAAGAGATGAGAAAGATCAATAACACACACACACACACACACACACACACACACACACACACACACACACACTCTCACACACACACACTACACACACACACTCCCAGGTGGCGTCAGAAGTTGGAGCCCCAACAAACTGAGTCTTTCTTGAGAACAAGCAGATTAACGGCTGCAGGATTAGGACCAGGACACCCAAGTCGACCACAAGTGGTCCGCCGTCTCCATGGCAACCAGCCTACAACTCCAGCCCCTCCCACCTTTCTTCTTCTTTTGACAATTAACCTATTATTACTGTCAGATAAACACGTACGAAATGTCTTCGTTAAAGAACTCAACATTGTTCTCCTTCTCTTTTATTATTATTATTATTATTGTTGATATTATTATTATTATTTATTACCATTTTAATCAATGAAAAGAAGCTTTAAAAAAGGATGTGAAACTGTAACATTTCCATCCATCGCTCCAAAGTCCTGGCTGTTTGGACAAAGCCGGAGGTTTTATAAAAATAAAGTCGGTAAATAAACAATAATAATAATAATAAATAAATAAACAGACTCGTGCTGTATTACCTTTCAGCCGTGTAGCGTTTGAATCTGGTTCGATCCCTTCAGCCACCGCCCTGGTTGCATATCGCCCGCCGCCCTTCGTGCCAGAGTTTACCATCGATTCACGCGTTGGAGCGTTGATCAAACCTGGAAAAGAACGGTACGTGAGAGCTGACACGAGCCACGCTCAGAGTCAGTGCTGAGGACGACTCTCAGCTACTACCACACTGAATTTTGGCTCATTGACTTGGAGCCATTTCTGTGTTGGCTGTGGCAGCCATTTTCAATTGGATTGACTCTAGACGTTAATCAGTTGCAGTTGCTCATCCACTGGATACTGTTTAAGGTGATTCTTAAGACATTTTGCTAACAGAGATATAGGCATTACTCAAACATAAAAGGTCACAGACAATAGCCAAAATGTCAGAACCTTTTGTGCTCGGAATATGTATTTGAGATAACTCTCAGCTACTACCACACCAAATCTTTGCACAAAATATGTAAAACTGACCGAATTACAACAATTTTTGCGTTTTTTAATGTCAGCTGGTTGTGGCAGCCATCTTAAAGTGGATTAGCTCCATTAATTAATCACCTGTAGATGGACACTTAATTATATCCTAAAAAGTTTAATAAAAATCCATCTTAAGGTTTGTGAGATATTTTGCTAACAGACAGGTTGAGTTAATGCTAAACACAGACAGCTTGAGCCTATCACACACCTTCAGCTAGACTAGCTTAACTTGGGGATAACTCTCAGCTACTACTATGCTAAACTTCAGCTGTGTTGGTGTAAAATCCACAGAGTTATAGACATTTTTGTATTTGCCAAGGACGATTAGCTGTGGCGGCCATCTTACATTGGGACGACTCCAAACGTGTAACAGTTGTTGACGTCAATACAGTTGTTATTGTCCGAGTGTTACACTAAAATCAGCTCAGTGGTTCATGAGATATTTTGCTAACAGACAAACATACACACAATAAGTGCCAGAAAGAAAAGTTTAGTTTGTATTTCTTTAAATGTCAGAGTTAGCCTCCCACTGTGGAGTACTTGAGTATTTTGTTCTCTTTGCTTCTTTTATTCGACTCTCTGTAAAACAAATGTATTTGTTCGCCCGTTCCTTTGTGAGCCAGACGCTGCAGCCAAGTCTCCAGAACTTAAGTTGCATTTTGTCTTTTCTCCAGATTGTCCCAGCTCACAGCGCACATCTGTCCTGCAGCTTCTGACAGTCAGCCAAATACAGTCAAGACGTGGCTCCTTCTCCTCGTTAAGGGATAAAACTGACAGGCGACACCTGGTCCCCCCCCCCCCATCGTTTGGCTCCGGTTTAATCAGCTTCTCTTTCAGACAAATTATTTGCTCGTTAAACACAAAACAAACATGTTTCCGATAATAAAAAACTAATTCAGGTTTATTTCTTTAGTTTGATGAGCAAAACCTTAATAAAGAGTTGATTCCTGGGTGAGTGTTGTGGTAATGAGGGGCCCCGCACACAGCAGAGTGTGTGTGTGTGTGTGTGTGTGTGTACATTTCCGTTGTGTTCGTCCAACTGCAGTCGTCGGTTTTAACCAGAGATCCTAAAGAAAACACGTTGGATCAGAATAAAACTAAATCTGGCTCTGAAATGACTAATCTAACCTGAAGAGAACAAAAACAGATTTCACCGGGTCGGTTCAGGGTCAGCCAGGACACGCTGATTAACCTGCTCATCAGAACCACCTCTGATCTGGATCATACAGGTGTTACCACAACGCCAAGGCGGAAAAACATCAGCAATGGCCTCTTAGAAGCATCAGTCCATCAATCTGGAAAGGGTCAAAGGTCATTTAGAGACATGCGTCAGAGAAAGTTTATTTACAAGTGGAACACATTTCAGACGGCTGATTCACCCTGAAGGTCAGACCGCGCAGCCAGCGCTCACTCTACAGACCTCTGTCAGCAGGTCAAAGGTCATGGCCTGTTCTCTAAAAACAACATGGCAGCTCAACTTAGGTTTGGAAAGTTTCATCTGAAGGAACCACAAGACTTCTGGACCAGAACCAGACCAGAGGACATGTTTACCCAGAATGCACTGCAGCAAACAGCTCCTCCCAGCTGTCAGCACGGTGGTGGAGGGCTGATGGTCTGGGCTCCTGTTAGTCTCTGTGTGGACCAGAGAGTCAAATCTGTCCAACAGCTGAAGCTTGAACTGAACTGGGTCCAACAGGACCATGATCCCAAACACAACAGCTGATGTACAACAGGATGGGTCAGAAAGAACAGAACGGTCCAGTCAGTCCAGAACCTGAGTGCATGCAGTGGTGGATCTTCAGAGAGCTGAGCAGAAAGCAGCTTCTCCATTTTGGCTTCAACTCATGTGACAACGCTCAACAATCTGACCATTTATAAACTGTTGCAGCTGAAAATATTTTTTAAAAATAATTTCTGGCATGTGGTCGTTAGCAGGCGAACGGATTAAAGGCGCGCTAACGAGACTCCCTCGACTTATTTTAAAGTGTCCGTAGAGCCGAGCTGTTGAAAAGTTGTCAAAGTCAAATTTTAATTTGAAGTTTTAGGAGAGCGCCGAAGTCAGAGTGGCTTCCTCTCATTTGTCACAATGATCCTCTGAAATTAAACCGAGTAGCGTTTCTGTTTTAAACACGTGAGGCGAACCTTAAATCAACAGAAGAACCACAAAGCAAACTGATCTTCAATTAAAGAGACCGAGAGGAGTAAAGGGGGGAGGAATCAGGCGTCAAGAAGTGTTGAAAAAGAAACTGGACTCAAACTGATTCAGACTGACAGGGAAATCTTTTACTTTAAGACGGAAATTAAACTCTTACAGTTATATACAAAAAACACATTCCTGCTTAAATGTTTCACAAGTTCAGCTAAAATGGACCAAATAACACTGGAGCAAGTGATTTTAACACAACCCTGGTTAACAGTTAACAATAGTTTATACTAGTTTAAGTTATTTGGTTTATCAAGTGTTGCAGACTTATGAAAAATAAAGTTTTTAACAAAAATGTGGCTGAAAACAGTTGAAGTTATTGTGTTTCTGATGACATGAGACAGAGACGAGATAGAAAAAGACAATAAAAAAGAACTTAACGGATAAAAATGTTATTCAAGTCCACATTCATGATCTTTACTTTAAGGACAAGTTTAATAAAAGTTCCTTTTATTTGACTGAAATCAGGTTTCAGACCGTCAAAAACACACCGAAAAAAAAAACCATTCCACAAATTAAACAGGAAAAAATAATAACACTGTAACTTTGTATTTCAACAAATACTAATAGATTTGGTTTAAAATGAAAACGTTTGTCAGAAAGAACAGATCAGTTACAAAAAACAGGGTTGATGTAAAAAATCCAAAAGAACCAACAGATTAAATAACACGAAGGCTTCCGGTCCCAACTTTCTTCCTCAACACGTCCACCAGACGCTCCAACCTGGAGTGGAAGAAAAGAAACACGTGAATGTTAAACATGTCAAACTGGACACGCCCTCAGATTCATCTCTGCTGAACAATAAATCAGTGTCTCACCGAGCTGCGCATGGGTTTCACTCAAACTTGTTAGGAAATAAGTTTGTTCGGTCTCGGCAAACTCTGAGGCTGCGATTGGAGTTTGAGACTCCCACGACAAAACTGATTCAAGACGTCCGCAACTGAAGTGAGACCTAATCAAGACTCCCTCACTGAAACGGAGATCAGTTGAAATGCCAGCTAAAGAAATCCAGAAAGGTTTGAGACGCCCACGTTTTAAAGGCCTGCAATAAAAAAGAGACGGGACCGAGATGCTGCCGAGACACGGACACAGGTTCAAGTCTTTTACATTTAGACTAAACTGGTTTTAGACTTACCCAGTTAGTCTAAACTAGTTTTAGTATTTTACATTTGGTCTAATTTGTTTTAGTTGTTTTCATTAAGACTAAACTTGTTTCAGTCTTTTACATTAAGTCTAAATTGTTTTAGTCTTTTTCATTAGGTCTAAACTGGTTTCAGTCTTTTACATTTAGTCTAAACTGGCTTTAGTCTTTTTCATTAGGTCTAAACTTGTTTCAGTCTTTTACATTTAGTCTACACTGGCTTTAGTCTTCTACAGTAAGTCTAAACTGGTTTTAGACTAAACTAGTTTTAGTATTTTGCATTGTCTAAATCTGCTTTAGTCTTTTACAGTTAGTCTCAACAGATTTTAATCTTTCCGAGTTAGTCTAAACAGATTTTAATATTTTCCACTTAGTCTTAACTGGTTTTAGTCTGTCCCAGTTAGTCTAAACTAGATTTAGTATTTTACATTTAAACTGGTTTTAGTCTTTTACATTAAGTCTAAACTGGCTCTAGTCTTTCCCATTTGGTCTAAACTGGTTCTAGTCTTTTACAAATAGTCTAAACTAGTTTTAGTCTTTCCCAGTTAGTCTAGTTTGTCTCTTACAATTAGTTTAATCTTGTTTTAGTGTTTTACATTTGGTCTAAACTGGTTTCAGTCTTATATTGTTAGTCTAAATTGGTTTCAGTCTTTTAAAATTTAGTCTAAACTGGTTCCAGTCATTTACATTGAGTCTAAACTGGTTTTAGGTTGTTTTCACACCTGATAGTCCGGTAGACTCGGTTCGGTTTGGGACCAGTATTCATAGCATTTTGTTTACATTTGAGCTGGTGCGTTTGCATTCACACTGCACTGTGCAGTCGAGCCAACCTGTTCGAACCAACCTGTTCCCCCACTCGCCTGTGGGGGCGCTGCACCAAGAACTACTGAAAGAAACAACACAAAAACCTCTGAAGACACTTCTTCTTCTGGAAATAAAAACAAAAATGGAGTGGCATCAAATTTTAGCGGTTTGAGGAGTTATATTTTGTCATTTTTCAACCATGGACTCAACATGAGTGGAAGATGAGGCAGAAGACCATGGAGAATATTGTTTTTCACACAAGGCAGCTGACGGCTCCATATGAGGTAAGAGAAATGCGTGTTTGTTTGCCCTGCGTTGTAGTCCACTTCCTGCTTGCAGAGCGGTGCCCGGTCTGCTTGCATTCACACTGTACTCGAACAGCGCTTGAGGTTTCTTTTACCGGACCGACCTAGGTTTTTAGGCGGGCCAGAGTTCGTCTTTTTGTTCCGTGACAGAGTTCGATGGCATGTTCACACCTCCCCAAATGAACCGGACTTCCTAGGCAAACGGGCTAGAGTTCGGGACAACAGGGCTGGTGTGAATGCACCCTTAATTGAGTCTAAACTGGTTTTAAACCAGGCAAAAATCCCTGCATGTTTTCAGTCAAAGTGAAGAAAGGCATGAGGGTGTGTGTAGGTGTGTGAGTGTGTGTGCAGGTGTGTGTGTGATGGGGGAGGGGTGGGAGTGACCTTCTAACAGTCAGTGAGACTCTCTCTGCCTCTCCAACTCAAATTAAACTTCCCATCTGTAATAAACAGCAGATTTAACTGGGTCCCTCCAATCAGAGAGCAAACATTCCTCTTCACAAGCCCAGAAACTTCGAAGGAGCCACCACCCCCACCGCCACCCCCCACACACACCAACACACACTCCAACACACACTCCAACACACACTCCCACCCCTGCTGGCAGCCAAATTATAGAAGAAAGCCCCAGGTTTGAGCTCAGGAGGACAGCACGGGATGCAGACGGGAAGACTTAATCTGTTTTCATCATGAATCTCTTCATCTTCATGCTGATGAGATCAGAAGCAGTCGAAGGAGTCACGTTATTCAAAAATCAGACAATCATCCAGTTTGAGTAAAAAAAAAAAAGAAAAGGCTTATTCGTCTTGATCATCTCGGAAATGCTCGCCGATGTCCACTGAATACGAATCATTACCACCGAAAAGTCTTCTTAGTCCCACGTCATTAACCGGTCTTTGAACGCCTCTGGTGTCTCGGATAGCTGCCGTCAGACATGTTTATCACGTGTTTGTCACATGCTCAGCACGTGTTTGTCACCTGGCAGTTCAGGCTGACTCGGTGACGTTAGAGCAGTGTGACTACAACAAATTAACTTAAAACTTTGTTTTCCTATAAAAACAGTCCCAAGTCTCATGATGTCATTAAAGGCACATTTGCAACTGACTAACCATTGAACTCAACTCAATCCAAGATGGCTGCCACAGGTAATCAACCTAAAACACAAAACAGCTATCGCTATAACTCAGCTAATATTACAAATATTTTGCTAAAACAAGCATTGCAAACAAAAAAGGCAATGATTTACAAAAACTGTCTCTAGTCCTGATTCCAAACTTCCGAACTTAGTGAGACCATCACTGAATTATTTTTTTATTTCTTGATTTTGAGTCGCTACTAGTTTCTAACGGTCGCGGCTAATGAGATACTACCTTTAGCAGACTACGTCTCCTCTCAACATCGTGCTTGATCAAAATAAATACAGCTCAGAAGTTTAGCTCTTTCTGAGGGGACTGGAGCAAATGAAAACCTCCCCCTCCCTCCTCCCTCCTCCCTGCTGTTTACCGCAGCTTCCTGACAAAATGCACCACATCTCGGATCAGGAGCTGCAGCATAACCTCACAAGAAAACCCTGCAACGCTCGGTGAGTCATCGGGATGAGAGTCTCTGAGGTCATTAGAGACCAAGAGATGTAAGAATGAAGCCCTCAGTCTTGTATGAGAGCCCTCTCAACCTGTCAGTAAGCTGTTGAACCCACTACCATCTGCAGGGCGAAACCGCTCCATCAAGTCAAAAACTACCATCATGCACCAGCAGCCCGATGGACTCCGGCAGAAAAAAGGAACCAAAAGTCACTCGTTCCTGACAACACGAACATAAATCTCACCGGTGCGTGTTGGAACGGCTTCTGGTGCTCAAGTTTGGACTAACGTGTGGCTAGGTGTTACGGTTAAAGTTTAAAACGTTCAGTCTGACCCAGACAGAGCGCCAAACATCACCACGCTAACCCGAACTGATCCAACGAACGGTCCGTTTTCTCCTTTTTATAATTCAGTTCAAACGTTTTAGCAGTTTGTTAAAAAATTTAAAGAGTACCTTCAAAAATCTGATCCTCTCAAGTCCTGTTTTATTATTCATCACCTGATGCCAAAGGTGAGAGGGTGATAATGTTTATGGTCATGTGTTTGTCTGTAATGTTAGCAAAATATTTTATACATCACTCATCAAAGCTATTTTAGCAAAAACTAAAGTGGGTAAAACTGAGAATATTAGACAGAAATTCTGTTAAAACAACACGAAGAGGACTCTTGCTCAGCCTGTGGTAGTAGCTGAGTACAGTCTCCACCACATACTTTGAGCACCTTTACCATTGGAGTCAACCCTGTTTGTCTGTTAGCAAAATATCTCAGAAACCACTGAACAGAAACTCCGAAAATAATCACTGAATGAAAATCTGCAACCAATTAACATTAGGAATAAATCTAATTCAAGATGGCCGCCACAACTAATTGGTGGAACAGAGAACATCTGGAGATGCACAGCAGTCCAGCTTAAAGAGTTCTGAATCTTTACAGAGACCAGAAACGCCAGAAACTGTCCTAACGTTTCCCTAAAACAACAGGTCTTTGATTTGAAGGGGCACATTGAATAAAACATTTACCATCACTTCTTATAATTATTTTAAAAACATTTTTATTTGCTTTGCAAAGAAAAATAAATAAATTTATATTTATTAAAATAAAAAAATAAATGTGAAAAAAACAAAGTTAGTTTTTATGTTTTTGAGGTTCAACTAATCAAACCTTGGGACTCAAGAGGACAAAAGTGTGTGGTTAAGGGAGGCCACCAAACTTTTGGGGGTGGCCAGTGCCCCCTCTGGCCCCCCTTTGGTGGTGCTCCTGGCTACACCTCAGTGAATTTTACAGATATTGAGCAGTAATTTTCTGTGTATTACTTTTAATTTGTTGAAGATCCTCCATGAAAACAGTTTATTTGTTAGAACCTGACCTGCGGACTTTCTCAGAGGCTTCTCGCTCGGCCTCCTGGCTCCGTCGAAGCTCCTCCTCGACGCTCTGCTTCTCCCTGGACAGCTGCTGCAGTCGGACCTGGAGGTTCTGGTCCTGAGAGGCCAGCGGCTTCTGGGAAACGCTGTCAGGAGGCAGCGACGGGGCTTCGTTAGGAACGGAGAGCGGCGAGCTGAGAGAGGAGCAGCGAGATGAAACGTTCAGCTTTGGTCCCCTCAGCTCATCTTTAACGACAGACTCAATGGACTTGACTTTGTTGAAACATTTAAAGCGTTTTATTTCCTTTAATCTGAAACACGCTGCATGTAGCATCAACCAAAGAGGACAGAATACGCACATTGAATAGCTTTAGAAAGCCCCAACGAGCGCTCAGGATAAATTAAAAACAGCTTTTCATGGAGAATGCGGCGTGAAAACTGAAGAGTTTTAGAACTTTTGTGTTTGTTAAAGATGATGAGCTCCAGCAGCCATCTTGAATCGAGTTTGCCCACATCACTATACCAGAACAAAGAGTCTGTTGGCCAAAAATAGAAAACTTTATACGATTTAGACATTAGAGTCAGTGACATCATCACTTTAATCTGTTAACATCACAAGACTTAACCTGCGATTGTGTAAAAAAACATTAAAGATGAAAAAACAGCAGTTCAGTAAAGTCCAACTTTCTGCGACCCGTTTAAACTCTGAATTACGGCTCTGCCGTGAAGTCCGGCTTCTGCTTTTTTACTTTTTGTTTGGCCAAAATCTCAAAATATTTAGCTTGTTCATGTTTGATCATTTATTTTGCATTGTATGATGTAACATTAACAAAAGTCTGAGCGCAGCATTCCTGGTGGAACTGAACGTTTAGACGTTTACTTTGGGTGAGGTTTTAAATCTGCGTCGAAAACAAATCAAAACGTTAGCAAGAGAGCTAATGCTTATGCTAAATGACTGATGTAAATGATCTTGTATAAATTTGATGAATGAATGAGAATTAATTTGTTTTGGAAATGCTAGTGTAGTTCAGTTTTGAAGAGGCAAACTCTGAACATGAATTATTTCAGCTTGAACTTGTTTAAGACGAATTATGAAGCAGTGCCAGTGAGGGGTGAGCTTGCACAACACTGTATTTTAGTGAAGTTTTGCAGGTTATTAAACGTGCAAAGATCAGCTGTTGCTGGTTGGTCTTTGGGTGGTTCTGCGACAAGATGTCAAACAACCACAGAGGCCACTGTTCTTGGTTGCAGCTGGTGTGAAGGATTGTGGGTAGGCGAAGGCTCACTGACCTGCGATCGACTCGTAGTTCCTGAATCTCAGCGTCCAGTTGGCGCCTGTCCTCCAGAGCTCCGCCTCGTTCTCTCTGCAGCATCAGCATCTCCTCCTGATCAGACGAAAGCCACATCAGAAGCTCGGCGGCTACAGAAACGACCCTCAACGCACACGCACGTTTAATAAAACGTCTCGGCAATATGAGCTGCAAACCCCAAGTAAAAACTTTATCCAAAGGTTTAAAGATGAGGAGCAACACTCGAGGGAGTGTGCGTTTGTGCTTTGGGTGCACGTGCCTGCGGGGCTGCGCTGCAGAGGAGATCCACCTCTGGATCGGAACGACTGTTTGAATAAAGGCTTAATCTACTAAGTGACTAATTAAGCAACATAAGAGTCAACACAGTTCATAATGAGGATGTGATTTATATCAGCTGCTGCGTTCTGACGGCACCAGATCAGATTATCTCTGGGTCCTGAACTGAAACATCCAGAGCAAAGGAAGGGAGGAGAGATTTTAATGTTCGTAAATATCTGGATTAATAAAAGTTGTTTGAAATAATTAGCATGTGCAAAGAACGAGAGGAAGACTTCCTGTAAATGTTTTTAAAGAGCAGAGTTGATAAATAAACACAGAAATTCTGTATCCAATGCTCTGAACGCCATGAACAAGCAGTGCGCCGATGTCCCCAATCGCTGAGGAATTTGAAGGTGAATGTTTGTTTTTGAGATAAATGTTTTTCTGGACTGGGATTCAACAGGGAATGAAAGTAAACCTTAATGTTTTTAGTGCAAGATATTCAAGTGGGAAGGAGATGCGGTGCTGCATGTTGAATCCTGGATGGTGGAGGGAGCAGGTTTATCCTCCACCAGGTGCAGTGGAGGAGTTAGGGGGTGGCCAGTGGTGGCCTTGACCCCCATATATGTATCTTAGACCACCACACTCATCTGAGGGAATTATACTTTTCAGTAATTAAAAAAATTAGAAAGCAAAGTCTCCTTAACTGATAGAGGTGGCCATTTTTATTTATTTTTTTAAACATAGATACACAGCGGTGGCCATCTTGGATTTTGACGTGGCAATCCAATTTTCGTTAGTGACCTTTCTTACACCTGGATGCAGTCACACACTGACATGGAAGTTGGTACCTTCCTTATTTTTCCAGTTATCATGCTCACAAGACGAACAGGCGGATGGAGGGTATTTCCAGTTCCCCTCTCCACTGCGACGAGGGAGACAAACAACCAGCTGATTAAAAATGACGGAACAGCAAGTAACAACGACGTGAAAAAAATAAAATAAAAAGTACATACCTAACAGAAGAGGTTACAGTTTTTATTGCCTGGCACTAAAAGAAGGGTGATAATATTTTGCCTGTCTGTCAAACACCTCCTGAATCAAAGGGCAGAGTTTACTGAAACTCTCAGAAAGTATCCACATCTACAAGTGATTCAAAATGGCCGCCACAGCTAATCAGCTTTGGCAAACGCAAAAATGTCTTCAACCAAGTCAGTTTTACAGAACATCATCATCGGCCAGTTGCTGTGGGAGCTTCACCAGCAACCTCCTTCACTGATCCTCAGCAAGACGGTTGAGGACATGGGCAGGCAGTCCTGTCCAGACATGGATGTCCTCTTCCTGTTGACGAGGAGGACGTCCTCTTCTACTGGTTCCTTGTGCGTTTTCTTGCAGGATCATGTTTGACAGAGTTCCCTTAGTCCTCACTACATGGACACACCACTTCAGTGTCTTCTTCTTGACCTACATTAGGATGGAGACATGTCTCCAATGAGGACACGGACTCTATGGTGGACATCGTTGTTGGCAGTGTGGGAGGACCTGTGTGGACCTGAAGCAAGGACTGGTAGCAGGTCTTTTCAAATGTGCTCATTCTTTTCTCTGTTTGCATTCAGAGTCCAGGTTTCTGCAGCATAATGACCAGACAAGTGGACGTAGGAGTCTAACTTTGTGAACCAGTAACGGTGTAAGAGACAAAAATCAGGTGCTGAATTTATTGTTACTTTTTTTAATCCCCCCATCACGGAGCAAAGAGTGGAACTGGAAATGCCCTTCGTCCACCTGTCTGTCGTGAGCTTGATAACTAGAAAAATAGAAGAGGTGCCAACTTTCATTTTGGTGTGTGGCTGCATCTAGGGGTAAGAAAGGTCACTATCAAAAACTGTCATGTCAAAATCCAAGATGTCTGCCACCACATATATACATATATATCCCTCCACTTGCCAGGATCCATCATCTCCTCTGCCTTGGACAAGAAAATAAATAAACCTCCCTGTCTTCTTCTCCACAGTGTAACTCCTACCCACTCAAATATCTTGCACCAAAAAACATTTAGGTTTACTTCATTCTCTGTTGAATTCCAGTCCAGAAAAACACTCAACTCCAGAACTACAAACATTCACTGCTCAAATCCGTCAGAGACGGAGGACGTTGGTGCACCGCTTGTTGTTTAAGTCCTGGCTGGATGTTTCTATTCAAACACAACTGTTGCATCATCATTATTAAATCTTTGTTAACGTGCGGTTTATCTTTAAATACACAACATTAAAATAACATTTGACACCGAAGAGAATGAATGGAGACATGCTGCAGGAGGTGGACCCGTCAGCTGAGTTTTACAGGACGCCGTGTCTCACGGTGTCTCTGGTACAAACCTGGTGGAGGTCGACTCCAGCAGGGATTACAGACCCGACCCTGGCCTCCACCACTTCCTCCTCCTCTATTCTAATTAAAGCCCTCAAGGTCTGAGAGTTTAAAGTGAGACATCAAAAGAGGAACCAAACCCAGAGAGTCAATATGTGTCTTCTCCAGCCGGGCCGGAGGAGACGCTTCAAAAGAACCGCCCCACTTGCTAATTAGAATAATTTCCAAATGAGGCGATCAGCAGGCAGGAGCGACACTGAGCTGACCTTTAGCATGAGGAGTTAAGGTCAACAGAACAGGGAAGGACGAGATAATAAAATGCACCCGATCTTTGACGGGTGGGGGGAGCAGAAATGAAACGAGAGGAATCTTTAATGATCGGAGGAGACAAACGGGACAGGAGGGGAACTCTGAGGAAGTGAGGAACGACCTTTGACCTTTAACATTTAACATTTGGAGTTCAGGTGAGCAGAAGAGAGGACTACGATGGGGGCGGGGCAGAGATGGTTCCTCCAGAATGTGGAAATAAAAAAGGTGCTTAATAAAATGTATTTTATTATTAGGCAATCGTATTTGACTGGGTCTGTTGTTCTTTGTTAGCTAAATATATCCCGAACTATTGGATGGATTTTTTTTTAACTCCCAACTGTGTCTGTTAGCAAAATATGTCACAAACCACTGAATGGATTTCAATTAAGCTTTCAGGTCGTAATCAATCTACAACTTTTTAACAATTCAAGCCGATCCACATTAAGATGGCTGCCACAGCTAAGAAAAAGTACTAACTGTAATTTTTACACAAATGGGGATAAAATGTGGAGTGGTAGTAGCTGAGAGTCATTCCTAACACACACACTGACTGTGTGGCTGCATGCAGTCTGTTAATTACACAAAAAAACGTTTTATTAGAGCTAAAAATGTCTGAATAAATAAAGTACTGGGATGTCTGAAGATAATAAAAGTTATTTATCGTCATCTAATGTGTAATAATTTCTCCCTAGATATTAATTCTAGTTGACGTTTGATGTCTTAACATGAATGTTAATGCTAGAGGCCATTTTGAAAAGTGTACAACCTTAATAGTTGCAGAATGAATAAAAGCAGAGGTAAACTTAAATAAATGTCTGTTTTTTTTATTTAATCTTTAAAAACAAAAAAATTGTTTTATTTTAAAGAAGGCAGTTTTTATATCACATGCTGGCAGTCACTTTGAAGTTTCAAGCGGCTAACATTCGTTTTTAAAACGAACGGGGAAAAGAACGTTAGGGCCAAAGTAAAAACAAGCTGGTCAGGATTTCTGTAAATGAATCCAGAGAAAGGGACTCGGGTCAACGTGAGTGGACCTGCTCATGTCCTGCTTGGTGTTCAGGTGGGACGTTTTAAAAGTATCTGGTTCAAACATTTACGTTCAGGGTTCAAAGGTCCGGTTCTTAAAGTCCTGGTTTTGTTTTTTCTCAGCGTTTCACTGAGGGCCTGGCGCTCTTTGATGGCAGCTGCCGATGTTTCTGTGTGAAATTAAAACGTTCCCTCAGTTCTAATCCCTCCCAGAGCCCGGCCTAATTAACAGGCTTCAGCGATACATTAATAACAAATTTTAATTTACTTCAGAAAAAAAAGATGCAAGCGGCTCTGCAGGAACAAACTCTACTGGAGGTTTTACTGATTCTAATGAAAATATGCTGCCAGAATCAAACAACCTACAAATTATTTTGTTTTAAATAGAGAACAAATAAACAAGTTACTAATGAGATTAAAAAATGAGTTAATCAGTTATAGACAAACAAAGATAATGATGTCAAAATACCAAAATACATTTTAATTAAGATGTATACCAATTTACCTTTATATATATATATATATATATTTTTTTTTTTGATATTCCGTTTTCAAATGAAACTACGATAAAGCTTAATCTTTTTCCCTCCACAGTATCTGACAGGTGGTTTCAGAACTCCTCCAGAAGATCCACTGAATGAGGAGGAAACTGAAGAGATGGAGGTCTGAGAGCTCTGTGTGAATTGCACCTCCTGTAACCATAGGAGGGAGCTGGATGGGTGGATGAATGAAAGGATGGATGGGAAATGATAGTTGGATGAAGGACGGACTCCCTCCGCCCTCTGGCTGCACCGAGAAACTTTTATGGACAGAATTTCTCGGTGCAGCCAGAGGGTGGATGGAGTTCAGTTTGGTGGCCTCAGGATTCCATCTCTGCTCTTTGCAGATGATGTGGTCCTGTTGGTGTCCTCGTGTCTTGATCTTCAGCTCTCACTGGAGCAGTTTGCAGCAGAGTGTGAAGCAGCTGGGGTCAGAATCAGCACCTTGAAATCAGAGGCCATGGTCCTCAGTCGGAAAATTGTGGCTCTCTTCAGGTCGAGGGTGAGGTTCTGCCTCAAGTGGAGTTCAAGTATCTCAGGGTTTTGTTCATGAGTGAGGGAAGTATGGAGCATGAGATTGACAGATAGATTGGTGCAGCTTCCACAGTATTGTGTACTCTGTGCCGGTACGTTGTGGTGAAGAGGGAGCTGAGCTGTAAGAAGAAGCTCTCTGTTTACCTGTTGGTCTATGTTCCTACCCTCACCTATGGTCACGAGCTCTGGTAAGGATCCTTTTTGGGCGTCTCCTTAGGGAGGTGCTTTGGGTATGTATGACTGGGAGGAGACCCTGGACACGCTGGAGAGACTATGTCCAGTAAGATCTGGAAGAGGTGGCTGTGGAGAGAGATGTCTGGGCCGCTCTGCTGTTCAAGCTGCTGCCCCCACGACCCGACTTCAGAAGAAGCGGAAGATAATGGACGAATGGATGGATGGATGACAGATGGATAGAAACCACTTAGTCCGGCCTTTTTTACTTATTTTTTTGCTAAATTAAGTTTTTTGTATTTGTATAAATTAAAAATAAAAAAAACGACAAACCAAACAACCCAAATTATTTTTATTTTTCCAGTTTGCTGAATCGTTGCTTAAGAGCAGAAATGTCCTAGATCAACAGAAACACATCCCCACAAACAAACATACAATGTTTGTATGAACACCACTAATCCCAATCCATCAGATTAAGTGAAATGAGTTGGGTCTTACCTGGGTCATCCACTGGTGCCTCTGCTGAAGCAGGTCCTCTTCTAGTCTTTTACACTGCAGATACAGGATCAGAGAAAAGTGAAGGTAAGTCATTTCTTCTATTAGTTTGGTGACACTCAACAAATACTGCAGCTCTCCTCAGAAACAGTAGGTGGCGATACTGAAACTATACACCTCAATTGTTCTTCTAATAGTTGAATCATGGACTGAGTTTAATTGATGTAGGTTATAAAGTGTTCGCCTTGAGTCGCCATTTTGAAGGTTCTGAATGTAAACAATGGGAGCATCAGCGGTAAAGAAAGCCTAAAATGGTGCGCCATTTACTTCGATGGCAGCAAGTCTTCAACTAAAGATGTCACCGATAAACCAACCTATAGTTTCTACACATTTTAATCTACCCAACACTAGAAAGAGACAGACAATAAAAACAACCGAACTTTGACGAAAAACGTGAGAAAACCCAGCTCGAGTGATCTACACAGCAGAAACATCATTCAAAGTTTAAACGGGTCATGAAAAGTTGGACTTCGCAGAACTAAATGTCTTCTCCGATATCTTTAATGGATGCAACAGGATCACAGCTTAAGTTTGATGATTTTTGGAGATTTCTCAAGAGAATGATCAGCTGACATTTGATGTCACAAACTTTTGAAGCGCCTAAAACTTTCAAATCTTTGACAAACGTTTCTTACGTCCTAAAGTTCTTTAGAACAAATTATATATCAAAACATAAGGATTTTTGTCCTCTTTTATCCAGTGCGTCTTTCTTTAAAATGGAACTCACACCGTTTTTCTCAAATCCCAAAGAGTGCAAAGAACTCACACCCAGGTTTTCGCAGATTTAGTAAACTTAACTGAAAAACTACCCTAAAAACTAAAAGTGGTCTTTAACTTGTCATATAATCCAAACGTAAAAAAAAATTAAAAAAAAGCAACACTTGTGACCAGTAGAGCCTTCTGCTGCTCACGGATCAGGAATTTTCAAGGTACAACTCATCGTCTTTACACAGCGACTGTCTTTTTGAGGCTTATTTTTCAGTCTGTTTTTTTCTTTTTTGTCTGTCACTCTTGCAGTCAGGGAGTGACGGACACAAGTGTGTGGTTACTATGGTGACTATAACGAGCCAGTGGCTCATTTCTTTTGATCTACGTACACTTTATATAAAAAGTAGGCCTTTCTTTAAAGACTTGTGAGGGCACTCGTTGAACTGGCTGCCTTCAGATTTTCCAGAATTTTTTAATCACATTTACAGCAAAGTTAAAAGATAAAGCACATTTGAGGAGAGGAGTTGATCAATTTATTCTCATTGTTGCCATCAGACAATGAAAGTTGATGTTTACTCTCAGTAATTGAGCCTAAATGTGTGAGAATCGAACCAACACTTGATCGTGCTGAGGCCGCCGTCAGAGTGTGGTGGTCGGGCGGCACCAGGTGAGTTTAATAAACTGTAATAACCTGCATTACCTGATATGAACTCAATAAAAAGCAGGATACTCCAGCTGCCATATGGGTTGGTGCTTTCAGGAAGAACCCTCCCCCCCGTCTAATATTTCCCAGAAACCCCGGCTGCCGAGGAAGATAATCCCTGAGAGATGAGAAGAGGGAACAAGGGATAGGCAAGCAACGAGGGTGGGGGGTGATCCTCCAGCATGGAGTGCTTTCTCTCTTCGTCTTCTTCTATGAGGATTACAGCAGCATTTGAAACATATTTCGCCGTGATGCAGCAGTGGAATTAAGGTGTTACCATGGAGGAGCGGTGTTAACGTAAAGGGGACGGCTGTTAAAAGAGGGTGGATATCGGCGGGGGGTTAGTGGTGGTGATGCAGAAACGCAGGCGAATTTAAGGTTAAAGGAGGCAGGGGGTTACGAAGGGACGAGGGGGTGTAAACAAGTGAGGCCAACTGCTTTGGAGCGGACTGAGCAAAAGGTTTGAAGGTCCGTCTAACATACAAACGCAGGTACAAGTGCTGGGGGTATCACCTGATACCAGAAGACTACCTCAATATGAAGGTGGTACACATGTTACACATGTTACTGGTTGGACTTTGTCCACCTTATTCCTGGAGGCACGTATGGCACATTATTCGCCCATCAACAAACTATTATATAGCAATCTACAGCAATGTATAACATTTGACCTTGGTTTGTGACCTTTGATCTGGGGTGATGAGACACTCAGTTTAGTGGTGATACAAACGAGTACGAGTTACACAAACAAGTTTTGTTATATTATCTTGAGTGGAACATAAGTTCTGGTCCAGACAAGCAAAGACCCTGGTTTAATGCTGACCTTGATTTGTGACCTTGATCTTGGGTCTAGGGTGTTGAAAGTGCATGCAACACACTGTCTGATAATGATGCATAAGTGTATGAAATTTGGTCAAATGATCTTGAGTGGCTCAGAAAATTATAGGCTGGACAAGAGAAAGTTTACGAACGTACAAATGGAGACTATATGTCCACCTTTTGACGGGCATATAAAAATAACTTTACTTTAGTCAATTTACAGATATTGAGCTAAAATTTAGTGTGGTAGTAGCTGAGACTAATCCCCAACACATTTTCTGAGTGTGAACAGATCACGTCTTTGTTTAAAACGTTGGCATTAACTCTTGGGAGTCAACTCCGTCTGTCTAAATGTCTCATGAACCAACCACAAAACAGATTTTAATTAAACTTTCCAGAAATAATAATTTGAGCCAACCCAGTTCAAGATGGCTGCCACAGCCAACCGATCGTCACAAACACAAAAATGGATAGAACTCAGTCAGTTTTACCTATACTGAGCTAACATTTGGTGTGGAATTAACCGAGAGTAATTCACAACACCGGATCTGAGAGTGCCATCTTGCATTATCGTATCGGAAAACTTTATTTTCAAGTTTGGACCAGAACAGCTTCAACTCTGTCGATTCTCATCATGCAATATAAAATTACAACTTAAATTTGTCTAAAACTTTTGCATTACAGGTGGCAGACAATAAGCATTCCTTTAAGGAATTTTAGGCTTTTAAGTAATTATATAGTATTTTATTGTAGATGTCAGTCGTTTAAACACAGGAGAGGAACAAAGTTGTCACATCAGATGTTTTCATTAAGTGATGTCTCCACACCAGCCTGCGTCCATGGTCTTTATGGGCTCTGCTGTACCGGACCGTGTGCTGCTTTAGTCCTCCAGCTGAGGTAGGTTCAGGAAGCTGAGTTTCTAACACGTCCACCACAATCTTATTGCTGAGCTCAGAGATAATGCCTTGTAGTCAGGACACTCAGCTTCAAGAAGCAGATCATCTGTATGAAAGGACTTTGTCCATCCAGCTGGATTACACGGTCAGAGATGTTTTCACGGGACCAGGTTTCAGTCAAAACAGAAACTCAGTTCTCAAGGGTGTGGAACTGTAGTGCAAATAACACCCCTACTACTCAAGAGAAGCTTTTGGACCTGAAGAAATGATGGTTAAGTCTTTCTGAGAGCGTTAGCTCGAAGCTTACCCCTTTGGCCCCGCCTCCACCTCTTCGCTCCCAACTTTCAACGAAAAAGTTGTGCACAATTACATTGTCGCCCAACTTTCATGGCTCTAAATTTCCTCCTGTTCTTTTCTGACAGCAGTTGTCGTGGTTACCAGTGGTGTTTCTGCACGAGGGAGCATGTTGGTTCCCATGGTTACAAATGGTCCGTCAGTCACAGAGAGGAAACAGATGACGGTTTTCTGATCCGATTCTTTCATCTGAGACGGCTCTGAAGGAGGCGGGACTTCGGGGCCCATCTCCCGTAGCAAAGCATGCTGGGAGCACACACAATCTTTGCACTTGATTGCCAAATTCTTTATCTCTCTCTCATCCTACCCACCAGACTTTTTTTTTTTTCATTTCCACTGATTTCGCTCCACCTGTCGCAGAGAGCAGGATATGAATTGTGGGTAATAAAACCAGCACTTTGAAGATTTTGGTAATAGACTGAACTGAACTTTGGTAATAATCAGCCTCTGAAGGAGGGATAAGAAATGGAAAATTTGGATTTTCTTCTTTAACTAGAAAAGTGAAGGTGAAGAGTTCTGAGTGACGGCTTCCTCTTAGGAAAATAAAAGTACTGATATAATATTTAATAACATGTTAATATAATTATCTGAAGGGTGATGTAAGCTGTAGAGCTCTAAAAATCCTGGTCTTTTTCGAGCACTTTTCTCACTCGTTTCACCAAAATCCTATTAATCTCCATTATTTTTTTTCTTTCAAATTACATCGACATTGTGCAAAATATCACTAATAAGCATCATACTATAGTATTCCAAATCAATCTGAATTTTTGTCTTCATAAAGTTTCATTCAACAGCTTGTTTCAAATAGATGTTTGATACTGAGTCACAGCTGCTCAACATAGCGTGGACTAACCTTAATTACAGATTTGTCCCGGTCCTCCAACACAGCCTTCATCTCCTGAGCTGTGATGCTGTTTCGTCGCTGCTGCGACATCCGAAGATGATGGATGAGGTGCGCCCCAAACCGCTCGACTTCCTGGACATTGTCGGCTTCACAAACACCCTGAAGGAGCTTCTCTACATCCTGAAATCAGAAACGGACCGTAAGATCATAAGTCAGGAGTCAAGAATACCTTCAAAAATTGGAGTTGATTATGAAAATGGTGAGGAGTTTTACCATATCAGTGTCCTGCAGGTCTACAGCCTCCAACCTGACCAAAGAAGAACAACAGATTAGATTTTGTGTCCTTTGGATCTGGATGTCTACCCTTAAACTATCAGCAAAACCTCTTAGCTCTACTCAACCACCATCTTTGATTGTTGTGTTAATGTGTGAGGCGCACAAAGAAAATGAGACCCAACTTATCTGAGAGTTGGTCAAATCTGTAATCTGCTTCATATCAATGTATTCCTTCTTAAATATGGAGATGGTTTGCATAAATGCAGCTTTTACTTTACTCAAGAACCATCTGTAAATTTTAACAAGTGGTACCCCAATGGCCACATAGTGACCTATAAGAGTGGAGGAAGGTGTAGACAGGTAGACTACAGTCTGTGTAGAAGAGGGAACCTGAAGGAGATTGGGGACTGTAAGGTTTTGGCAGATGAAAGCACGACCAAATAGCATCAGATGGTTGTGTGCAGAATGACTGTTGTGAAGAAAAGAAAAATAGTAAAATCAAAGAAGAAGACCAAATGGTGGAAACTGAAGAAGGAAGAATGTTGTGAGAAATTCAGAAAAGAGCTGTTAAAGGGTCTGGGTGGTAAGAAAGAGCTTCCAGATGACTGAGCTAATACAGAAACAATAATTAGAGAAACAGGTAGGAAGGTACTTTGGTGTAATCTGGACAGAGAAAATTATAAAGAAACTTGGTGGTGGAATAGTGAAGTGCAGGAAGCTACTTGGAGAAAGAAATTAGCCAAGAAGAAATATGACAGTGAGAGGACTGAAGAGAGGAGACAGGAATATAAAGAGATGCAATGTAAAGCAAAGAGGGAGGTGGCAAAGGGAAAGCAGAAGGTGTATGATGAGTTGTATGGGAGGATGGACACTAAAGAGGGTGAGAAGGACTTGTACCAATTGGCAAGACATAGGGATCAGGCTGGAAAGGATGTGCAGCAGGTTAGGCTTGTTAAAGATAGGAATGGTAATGCTCTAACAAGTGAGGAGTGTGTGACAGGAAAATGGAAGGAGTATTTTTGAAGAGCTAATGAATGAAGAGAATGAAAGAGAAAGAAGAGTAGAGGTCATAGAAACTGTGGACCAGGAAGTGGGAAAGATTAGTGAGGGTTAAGATTAGTGAGGGTGAAGTTCAGAAAGCTCTGAAAAGAATGAAGAAGGGGAAGGCCGTGAGACCTGATGACATACCAGTGGAGGTTTACCATACCATACCATTTTATTTGTAAAGCACTTAAAACAGCTACAAGGCCAACCAAAGTGCTGTACAGACAGGTTTGGAAATGTCTAGAAGAGATGGCAGTGATGTTTTTGACCCAAGTATTCAATGGCATATTTGAGGGTAAAAAAATGGCTAAGGGATGGAGGAGAAGTGTACTGGTGTCCATTTTTAAGAACAAGGGTAATGTAAAGAGCAACTACAGGGGAATTAAGTTGATGATTGACACAATGAAGATCTGGGATAGAGTTGTGGAAGCAAGACTTAGATGAGAGGTGACTATTTGTGAGCAGCAGTATGGTTTCATGCCAAGAAAGAGCGCCACAGATGCCATCTTTGCTTTGAGGATGCTGATGCTGAAGTACAGAGAGGGTCAGAAAAAAACTCCTTTGTGTCTTTGTGGATTTAGACAAAGAATATGACAGGGTGCTGAGAGAGGAGGTGTGGTATTGCATGAGGAAATCTGGAATGGCAGAAGTATGTTAGATTCGTACAGGACATGTATGAGGACAGCAGGACAGTGGTGAGATGTGCTGTAGGAGTGACAAATAGCTTCAAGTTGGAGGCGGGAGTGCATCAAGGCTCGGCTCTGAGCCCCTTCTTGTTTTACTCAGGAGATGGACCGACTAACAGATGAGGTCAGGCAGGAATCCCCATGGACTATGATGTTTGCAGATGACATTGTGATCTGTGGTGAGAGCAGGGAATCAGGGAATAAGTGGAAGAGAACTCGGAGAGGTGGAGGTATGCACTTGAAAGACGAGGAATGAAAGTCAGCCGTAGTAAGACAAAGTACATGTTGAGAAGGAGGGTGGTGGAACAGTGAGGCTACAAGGAGCAGAGGTCACAAAGGTGCAGGACTTCCAAATACTTGGGGTCCACTGTCCAGGAAAATGGGGAATGTGGTAAAGAGGTGAAAAAGAGTCCAGGCAGGATGGAGTGGATGGAGAAAAGTTTCAGGAGTGATTTGCAACAAAAGGATGTCAGCAAAGTTCAAAGGAAAAGTTTACAGGACAGTTGTGAGACCAGCTTTGTTGTATGGTCTGGAGACAATGGCATTGACAAAAAGACAAGAGAAAGAACTGGAAGTGGCAGAAATGAAGATGTTGAGGTTCTCCTAAGGAGTGAAAAGGATGAATAAGATTAGGAATGAGATCATCAGAGGTACAGCAGAGGTTGAACAACTGGGAGATAAAGTTAGAGAGGCCTGACTGAGATGGTTTGGACATGTCCAGAGGAGGAACAGTGGGTATATTGGTAGAAAGATGTTAGAAATCTAGAAAAGTTAAATCTTGTCCTCTGGACATTCAAAAAAAACCCAAAACAAAGCAAAACAACAAAAAATGTAGAAACGTTTTGTTGTTTTGCTTTGTTTTTTTTTTTTTTTGAATGTCCAGAGGACCAGATTTAACTTTTTTTAGATTTTTCTACCTGGATTATTGAGCATGCATCAGGATGTTAGAAATGCAGCTGCCAGGAAAAAGACAAAGAAGAATGCCAACTAGGAGATATACAGTGGAGCTTGAAAGTTTGTGAACCCTTTAGAATTTTCTATATTTCTGAATAAATTTGACCTAAAACATCATCAGATTTTCACACAAGTCCTAAAAGTAGATAAAAGAATCCAGTTAAACAAATGAGACAAAATATTATACTTGGTCATTTATTTATTGAGGAAAATGATCCAATATTACTTATTTGTGGGTGGCAAAAGTATGAAGTAGGAAGAAATTTTCCATTCCCATTTTTCCACTTTTTGATGGGGAACAAAAAGGTGTTTAATCTGTTAATTTAACAGAAATGGAGTTAAACTCGGTGTAGTAGTAGCTGAGAAGCTTCCGCTGCACTCCGGCCAATAACCACAGTCAGGAATAGGATGGTTTGATTTACTGGAGCTCTGTGCCGCAGTTCTGCAGTAAATTTGTCCTGAAATCCCCAAATCAGATTTTAAAATTGCTGTGATTTTGACTCGGATGGCTTCCTCTGACTGGACCCGCCTGGTGTTCAGGAGGTTCCCCTCCTCGTGACACGAGTCACGATGGTGGACGTGCAGCCTGTAACTAGCTGATCTCCTGCCTCTCCTCCTGGGAGTCTGCTGCTGTTTTGCTGTAATAAACTGTAATAAGGTGGCCAAGACGGCTCCGCTCTGCAGGGAACAGCAGGTAATAAAAGACCGGCCGCTTCCAATAAAGCTCCTCTAACACCCTGCTTACGGCCCGGCAAGGCCGGCTCAGCCCGGCTTTGCTCGGCTCGCTCGACCCCCCTTCATTAACACTCTTACACATTTCCACTAAATTGGTTACGCGGCTAGCTGCCATTAATGGGGTCGGATTATCCGAATCTTCATTTGGCTTTTAGAAAAGTTTTTAGGTGAAGGCCGATCAAAAGTTGGATCCCTCGTTTCTAAAAGTAAAGACGCAAATGTCCAAACTATCACAAAAACAGCTAAAATCTAATTACTAAAGTTCTGCTGCAAACAGTGGACTAAGATTTCTTCTTTTTGTGATTCATTTTAAGTTTGTATCTTTTGTAGCTGACAGTCATCCCTAACATGTGCTCCAAATGCTAACAGATGGAACAACAGATTTGTAAAAAAAAAAAAAATGTCTGTAGTGCAGTGGGCAATATGAATTCCTTCAAAGAATGCTACTTTTGTAATTTATCTGGGTCAGTTGGAACTGGAGCAACTTGAAATCAATCTGTGCAGAAACAATAAAATAAATGAAATAAAATAAAAACCTTTAAAATAAAATTCTGCTACTTTGAGATACTTTTGTACTGAAATTTTATTTAACGTTTTGCTACTTTTAGCTTTAAGAAAATCTTTTAGTACTTTTAGTCAAAATGTGTTACTTAAAGCTACAGTTTGTCACTTTTAGCTTTTAGCTAGAGTTTGGATAGTTAACATTTTAGCTAGCATTTTTCTTCAATTAGATATCATTTTGCTACTTATACCTTGTGCTAATAAATTATAATAAACTAAACTAGCATTTAGCATGTTTTTTGTCAGTTACAGCTTTTAGGTAGCTTTGTGGCATTTAGCTAGATTTTTGCTAAACTTATCATGAGCTATCATTATACTACCTTTAGCTTTTAGCTAATATTAGCTTTCAGAAAGTTCTTACAGTAGTTTATTTTGCCATTTAACTAGTATTTTGCTACTTTAAGCTTTACCTAGATTTTTGCTGATGTTAGCTTTTAGCTAGTGTTTGGCTAATTATACCTTTTAGTAAGCAATTGGCATAAAGCTAAATTTTAAATAATTTTAGCTTACATCAATTGTTTAGGTT